CAAAAAGAATTAGATGATCCTAAGTGTGTCTTAGGCTGACTTATCTAGAGAAGCAAAATCAGTGTAGTTTATACATGTATATATAAAGAGAAGTTTATATCAAAGAAATGACTCACAGTTGTAGTGGTGGTGGTGGTGATGTGCTGTGGAGTCGGTTCTGACTCATATAGGGTTTCTAAGGCTGTTAATCTTTATGGGAGCAGAAAGACTCATCTTTCTCCCATGGAACCTCTGGTAGTTTCGAACTGCTGACCCTGAGGTTACCAGCCCAATTTGTTGTAGAGGTAGGGCAAATCCCAAAACATGGATCAGATAAACTAAGAATGGCAGATCAGACAGCAGGTAAGTAGGGCAGGTAAGATGGCAGGTTGCTGAGGACTCTCAGGTTCAGTCGTTCAAAGTCCAAAGAATTGGATCCAGACCCATCAACTTTGTCTGCGTGTCCAACACATTTCAAGCAGGCCATACCCCTGAGGGAACTTCCTTTCAGTTGATTGGGTAATCATAGCAGAGCTCATCATGGAGCTGATTACATTATATTAGACTTCAACATGGGGGATGACTACATCTTAACTACCAAACTACTGAGAATTCTGGTCCATCAAGTTGACACAAAACCTTAAATAGTACAGTGATAGTCAGTGTATCTCAAATATATTGTAAGTCAGGATTACTTGCATAGAACGTATTTTATTTTGTTGTGGTTGTGAATATGTACAGCAGAACATATATTGGTCCAACACTTTCTACATGCTAAATCCAGGGACACTAATTACATTCTTCGAATTGTGCAACCATTCTCACCGCCTTTTCTAAGTTGTTCCTCCATTATTAACATGCACTCACGCTCCCCTAAGTTATCTATTTCATCTTTCAAGCTATAGTTGTGAATTGATCCCATATAGATAGATCTTAATAGAACATAAAGCTTAGGCAGATATACTGTAGGATAAGCACTGAACCACAAGGTTGGTGCTTCAAAACCACCAGGCACTCCTCAGAAACCCTATACAGGGTGGCTATGAGTAGGAACTGACTCAATGGCACTTAACACCAACAATAATTGTTTGGTTTTAAGATGACTTCAGGGGATATTTTTGGCTTAAGGTTTAAAGATTATCTCAGGGCAATAGCTTCAGGGATTCATCTAGCATCCATGACTCTAGAAAATAGGCATTCCATGAGAATTTAAAATTCTGGTCTGCATTTTTCCTCTTTGATCTGTATTCTTCTATAGAATCTTTGATCAAAATCTTTAGTAATGGTAGCCAGGCATCATCCAACTCTGGTGTGATGTTAAAGGAGGCAATAGTTGTTCATAGAGGTTACTAGTCACACATTCCATTTCTTCCTCCTTTTCCTGACTCTCCTTCTTCCTCTGTTGCTCCAGTCTTGTTAGGTGTGTTGAGTTGGCTCCAACTCTTGTACAGCAGAGCAAAACACTGGTCCAGTGCCATCCTCACAAATGCTATATGTGAGTTCATTGTTTCTGTCACGGGGCCAGTTCATCTCATTGAGGTTTTTCCTCTTTTATGCTGACCCTCCACTTCATCAAGCATGATGTCCTTCTCTAAGAACTGGTCCTTTGTGATGGTATGTAAAGTATGTTATGAAGTCCCACCATCCTTGTTCTGGGGAGAATTCTGACAGTATTTCTTCCATGACAAATTTGTTTGTTCTGGCAGTCCATGGTACTTTCAATACTCTTCATCAACACCATTAATTCAAATGCATCATTTCTTTTATGTTCTTCCTTATTCATTGTCCAACTTTCACACGCATATGAGGCTATTGAAAATGTCAAGTGCACCTTAGTCATCAAACGGACATCTTTGCTCCTTAATACTTTAAAGAGGTGTCTTGCAGCAGATTTGCCCAATGCACTAAATTGTTTGGTTTCTTGACTGCTGCTTCCATGAGTGTTGATTGTGGATCCAAACAAAATGAAGTCTTTGACAACTTCAATTGTTTCTCCATTTATTATGATGTTATTTATTGTTTATGAGGATTTTCATTTTATTTACATTGAGGTACAATCCATACTGAAGGCTGTAATCATTGATCTTCATCAGCAAGTGCTTTAAGTCCTCTTCACTTCCAGCAAGCAAGGTTGTATCATCTGCATATGTCAGATTGTCAATGAGTCTTCCTCCAATCCTGATGCCACATTCTTCTTCATAAAGCCCAGTTTCTTGGATTATTTGTTCAGCATATAGAGTGGCACTGTAGGATAAGCATTCAACTGCAAGGTTGGTTTGAACTACAAACTCAATGGTTCAAACTCACAAGCTGTTCCGTGAGAACCCTATACAGGGTTACTATGAATCTGAACCAACTCCACAGCACTTAACAACAACAGCAACAACATAGCTTGAATAACTATGGCGAAAGGACGCAACCCTACACATATCTTTCCTGATTTTAACCCATTTGTATCCCTTGTTCTGTTCTAAGGATCGCCTCTTGGTCCATGTACAGGTTCCTCATAAACACAATTAAGTGTTCTGGAATTCCCAATCTTTGCAATGTTATCCGTAGTAATCATCTTTCTGGCATTCTCTGAATTTATCCAAGATCCATCTGATATCAGTAATGATATCCCTTGTTCCATGTCCTCTTCTGAATCTGGCTTCAATTTCTGCCAGTTCCCTGTCAATGTACTCTGCAACAATTTTTGAATTATCTTCAACAAAATTTTATTTGCATATGCTATTAATGATTCTGTTTGATGATTTCCTCATTCTGTTCTGTTGCTTTTCTTTGGAATGGGCACTGTTGCAGACCGTGTAAGACTAGTCAGAGGTTCGAGGCCCTCTAGGGCTGAGTGTAACAAATGAGGCCACTGGCAGTTAATGGAAAATTGCTTTCATCTTAATATTCAGGTATATATATTAAATTAATACACTGGAGCCTTTGAAAATCCACAGATAAATGTGATATTTTCCTAAAGCCGAGACTAAAGGTTGCAAGGTTAAACCTTTCTCCAAAGGATTAACTAAAAATATCTTAGCTACTTCTTGGTTCTTTGTTCTATAGACAAAGAACCCATCCTCCCTAATCCCTTTTCCAGGTGCAGCCCATTCACCTGGGCGGCTCCTGCAGAACTCTCACCTTCCCCCAACTGACCTCAGGGGCTATAGATATGTTAATTGGGCCTGAGAATCCAAGTTGCTGGCCTGGGATTCGAACCAGTGAAGTACAATGTAAAGTTACCTGAGTGTCTGGAAAATTACTGATGTTAGCTGTATCCTGTTTTAGTCCCTCCCCGCTTGGTGTGAAGCTCCCTCCCCTGAATAAAGCAGAGGCCCGAGCCTCCCCAGGTGTGCATTACTGGTTGGAAGGCATGGAGTAAAGATTGCGGTGCGTTACTGGTTGGAAGGCATGCATTAAAGATTGCAGGGCAGTGAGTCGCTGCCTGCAGAGGCCATGATGCCTGTAGTCCCAAGCCTGCCCACCAGTGATGTATCCACCCTGGCTTTGGGGTGCCTCATTGTCTCCCTTCTTCTATTTGTCTGTGTATTCTTTCGCTATCCCTATCGCCGCTGGATCTCCCCTCCTCGTGAACCAAAAACTCGTGACAAGTATGTCGAGGGAAAACTCTGACAGGGCACCAAAAGGGATCTCTTCCAATCGGTTGACAAGGAAGCTGCCTTCCATATTTCTTGGCACCGATGAGTGAGAATGTTCAGCTCTGCGTCAGTTTGATGAAACATTTCAGTTTGTATTCTGTCAATCCCTGGAGCCTTTTGCCAATAGATTTAGTGCATCTTGGACTTCATCCTTCAGTACCATCAGTTCTTGAACACTGGCTACCTCCTGAAATGGTTGAACACAGGCCATTTCTTACAGAGTTACACATACAGTGACTATATGCAGTCTTAAGCCTTTTTAAAGAAGGTTCTGGGCAGCTGAGACCTTCCTTGCAGTGGTAGCTAATCTCTCCTACGTTTCTATGTCTCTATCTCTGAGGAAGGCTCTTCTCAGTCTTCTGGCTTGCCCCACATCTTCCTTATGGGCACCTGGTAGAAGTCACAAGAAATAATCTGTAAATAAGAACAATTTCCCCTTGCTTATGTGGTTCCTACTACTTGGAGGGAAGCCTGTGCAAAGCAGAAATAAATGAGGTTAGAGACAAGCAAATAAGAGAAAAATATATGGAGTGAGTGCTCACAGCATCAGGCTTCTCAATTCAGACCCTAAAGTCTTCCTGAACTTTTGTGATTCATCCCAGTCACCAAACTCTCTTTTAATTTTAATTGGTTTGATTTGGGTTAGTCATTGGCCCAAAAAAGTATCCTCACTAATTTATACTCTCAGTGACTTCTAAGTCTTGCCATTATAAAGAGCATTGTGAAGAAATTTAATACAGATAAAATTTTATATACATGCATGATCCCCCCCACCCCATATGATGCATTTCAGGATAGGAGTTGCTGGATCACAGAATGTATAAGTCATAAAAGGTTTTGATGTGTATTGTGAAATTGCCCTCAGAAAAACTGTCCAATTTATATTTTCACCAAGACTGTATATGTTTCTAGTTCCATACAATCATAATGCTAAATAGGAGATGATGTAAAAAAAATGTCCAAATAAAGCTTCACTGCTTTTTTAATTGACACTGCCCCCATACCTAGGTTCTCAAGTATGGACCAAAAAGAGATCAAATGGGAATAAAATTGTGGAAGGAAGCCAGAAAAAAGGGAGGCGTCCAAAATGTACTCTGAGAGCTTTACCGCTATGAATAGCCAACCCTGGCTTTCACGCAAACCTAGTAATCTGGACAGGCTGAACCAGTATGAATATTCTAGGGAGAAATAAATGTGAGGAAATGACCAGAAGCCCTACCCTGATCTACCTCCTTAGCCTGAGGACCCAGTAGGTGACTGGCTGGCACATCAGTCATAGCTCCACACCCTCCCTTGGTGTTGATACATAAGCTACAGCAGAGGCACAGACCTCCAGTTCCTGGTCCTGAGGAAGCTGACTTCCCCACAAAGATGTGGGCTCAGTTCCTCCTAGGAATGCTGACTCTATGGCCAGCCATTGCAGAAGAACTTCTCCCGTAAGTTCTTGGAATCAGTTGATTTAGAGCAGGTGGCATCTTTGTCTATCTTTCTAAACATAAATATGGGAGAGATATAATAACTTTTGGTTTACTTTTTTGGAGGCTTAAATGTCATTCTCATCTTTTCCCTTTGGTTTCATGGCTCCTTTACTCAAAGAGAAAAGCTGAAGTACTGAGATGAATCTTAATTTTTTTTTTTTCCTTTAAAATGTAATAGAGTCCAGATACCTTACTTCCTCTTTAGGCTAGGCCTGAGCATCCCCGGGTGGTGCAGTTAATACTCTTGGCTGCTAACCAAAGTTCACCCAGAGGAATCTTGGAAGTAGGAAGTGACCTACTTCTGAAAAATCAGTCATGTGAAAATCCTATGGAGCATAGAGGAGCCTGGTGGTATAGTGGTTAAAATGTTCAGTTGCTAACCAAAAGGTCAGCAGTGCAAATCCACCAGCTACTCCATGGGAAAAAAATGTGGCGGTCTGTTTCGGTAAAGATTTACAGCTTTGTAAACCCTATTGGGCAGTTCTCAGATGGAATTGACTTGACAGCAGTGGCTTTTTGTTTTTTTATAGGGCACAGTTCAACTCTAACAGTTATAGGATCACCACGAGTCAGAATTAATTTTACAACAACTGATTTTGTTTTAAGTTTTTATTGTGAATTGAGTGATGATTTACATGGGAGAACATCAGCTTTACATTCATCCTATTGTATTTCATTTCATTGCAATGATTACAATACCCTCCATGCATCATCATAAACAACTGGTTTTAACCTAGGCATGGGTTCTTAATGAGGGATCTCCAAGGGAAAGAAGTTTATTCACTGAATTATTTGTTACCTATCTGCTGCTCCCTTACAGAAAGTAAGATTCATTTATTTCATTGTTATACGTCAATTACTTAGGAGAGTGTCTAGTTTTTTCAGTCAATGAATGAATCGTTACTACCCTGAAATCCTTTTTGTCCTTTAACAGAAACTACCTGGTGACCTTACCAGCCCAACTTAACTTCCCCTCCACTCAGAAGGTTTGTTTGGACCTGAGTCCTGGGTACTATGGTATAAAATTCACTATTACTCTGGAGACCAAGGACAAGACCCAGAAGTTGCTAGAACACTCTGGAATGAAGAAGAGGCACTTACATTGCATCTCCTTTTTGGTAGGCACAGATTCAACCAGAATTTGGATCCCTTACTTTCTCTTTTCCTTAGGCATTTACTATAATTGAACATCAAATATGATTTCTATTGTCTTATTTCTGTTATGACCTCTAAACCTATTTCCTCCAATCTTAGCTTCAATTACTTGCTCTAATTTACCCACAATTTTCTAGATGTTGGATTTTTATTTTCAGTTCCTTCTGATATCATTGCTCTCCTTAAGATTTCTGGGTGGCCCAATTGGTTTGTGCTCAATACTAACCTAAAGGTTGGAGTTTCCAACTCGCCTAGGAGTGCTCCAGATACTTGTTGTTTTTAAGTGCCATTGAACTGGGTCTGGCTCATAGACACCCTGTATAGGGTTTCTAAGGAGCAACTGGTGAGTTTAAACCACTGACCTTGCCATTCAAACCAACTTTATGGTCGAGCGCTTCTCCTACAGCACCATACCAGGACTTCTGCTGTGGATAATAGTCCTGGCAATCTTCTTCCATAAGGACTACAACCAAAAGGGCTCTGTGGCAGAGTTCTACCCTGCAATACATAGGGGTGCTATGAGTTGAGTCTCCACAGCAATAGTTTTTGTTTGTTTCTTTCTTTTCTTAATGGCAAGTTGTTTTACTGCTCTACCTTTGCTACCCCATGTAACTCAGTTCTTTACTTTTACTCTTCTGCTGTTGGGTGGGAGCCATTGATTCTGTTCCCCCAATCTCCTACTCCTTCTCAGAGCTCTCCTCTCTTGACCAGGTACCACCTCCTGCTGGTGGCACAGAAGAAGTGGCTACAATCCGGGTGTCAGGTGCTGGAAATAAAGTCAACTTTGAGGAGAAGAAGAAGGTTCTGATTCAGAGGCAGGGGACTGGCACATTTGTACAGACTGACAAACCTGTCTACACACCAGGGCAGCCAGGTAAGAGGTTCACATATGGAGTTAGATGAGAGACTGGGGAACCAGCTGTGCATTGGGTACCAAGGAGATTTGTAGTTTGGGAGGTAGGCGTATGAACTGGGAGTGCAGAAAAAAAATCTGGAGAGATGAAGTGTTATAGGTGTTGAAAAAAAATGCCCATTGTTACACAAGTAAAAGAATGATGGGTGGAGTTGTTACTGTGTGTGTTTCTAAAACAAAAGTACACATTTCTTCTGGAGTGGAATTTGGCAGGTGCAGTTGGATTTCTGAGTAAACTGCTGGTATACAGGATAAAAAAGATCTCAGGGCATTTGACTCTAGTTCTTGTATTGGTACTGTGCTGTCTCTGAGAGGAACACTGTGTTCTGAGATTTTGAAGTCAATAGCCCTGAAGAGAAACCTGGTTTGGGCTTATCTTTCTCTCAAACTGGGTTTGTTTGTTTGTTTTTACGTGTGTTTTCTACTTGATGAGGTTTTTCTGATTCAGAAGTGTGTGTGAGAAAGTGGAGTGGGTGGAAGAAGAGAAGCTTCTGAGAGGGGAAGAAGTTCCATTTACTGATGATGCCTATTTCCTTCTAGTGTATTTCCGCATTGTCACCCTGAACAGTGATTTTTTCCCTGTGAATGAAAAGGTGAGGATTTAATCGAGAGGAGGGAAAGGGGAGGAAGGAAGGGAGAATAGGGGAAAGGAGAACAGTCTCTGTGAAGAGTCTCTCTGTGTAGAGGTGTGACCAAGGAAGCCCAGAGGCCCAATGGTTAAGCACTTGCTCTTCCCCAAAAGGTGGATGGTTTGAATCCACAGAGAAAGATGAGGCAGTCTACTACTATAAAGATTTATTATTGTTGTTAAGTGCCGTCGAGGTGCTCCAACTCATAGTAACTCTGTACAGGCTTTCTGAGGAGTGGCTGGTAAGCTTGAACTGCCAACCCTGTGGTGCAAACCGATCTTGCAGTCTAGCACATTACCCACAGCACCACACCAGGACTCCCTATAAAGATTGACAGCTTTGGGAATCCTGTGGTGCCATTGTACTCTTCCCTATATGGTTTTGTTCTTTAATTGTGAACTGACAGTTTACATGGGAGAACATTGGTTTTTTACACTCTTTTCATTGTAATGATTACAATCTCCTCTGTGCATCCTCACTCAACAGTATTTGCTTCCATTCCCTCTGTCTCTCTTTGTGGGGTAGGGTGAGGAGATGTACACAAACATACTCAGGAATACATAATAATTTAAACAACCAAAGGGCACATTCTCCAAGCCTGCCTCCTGGCCACCAGCACTCAGTCCCTCTCTTTCCATGAGTCTAGAGTCCTCAGCTGCTCCCTCTCTCCATGTCCTCATCTCTTCCTCCATCTCTGGTGTCGCTGCTTCTCTGGATAGGGTCATACATTCTGCTTGTGCTCTTCTCTCTTGATGGTCCTAGGGTCCTCTGCTCCTGGAATGTAAGATTAACTACTCCCCCATTTTTGTTATAAAACTTCTACCTTTACAGTTGTAACAGTCATAATTAATCATGATAACAGTTACTCCCTATTGAATCATAAGAATCTTATCCCCATTTCTTTTCACCAGACCCGTCTAGACAAAATGAAAACTATCTTCCCCCCCACACTCTTAAACTAAACTCCCTCTTGAAAACTTGTAAGCCAGTCACTTTGTGCCTTTATCACGACCCCCATCACCCCATTTTAGGTAGCCAATGCCTAAGTTGCCTGTCCCTATCAACTCTATATGCAGAGGGGATAGGATTGACACTTGATCTGAAGACCCCTTCCCTCTAAGTTGGCATTTTGAGCTACTACATCCATAAGTATAGGTCAAGTTCATCAAATTGTAGCAATTTACACTTGTTTCCTTTATCAAAAATTGCTTTTTTATCTTCCTCTAGCAGAGTTCTGACTAGCAAGCCATCAAGGCTCCTAAAGCATTGTTTTGACTCTGAATACACTTAGCAGAGAGGAGGCCCTCTGGGTTGCAGAATACAGGTGGGATTTGAGCCCCCTTCTGCCTGAAAATGAACAGAAGTGATTAGATCTTAGTTTTGTGATCTACACATCAATTAGATTAACCTTCCTGAGAGATGGCTCCATTTGCTGTCATTTTAAAAAGCATTTTTGCACACTTTTAGACTGTCTCCCCAGGAATGATGCCAACCGACTTTGCAGTGAAAATATTAAGAAATAATTCAGAATAATTCATCTTGACAAAATGAAAACATAAGCATACCCACTTTCTTTCCATCTTTATTTATTTAACATTTTATTGTGAATTGAGTAAATGTTTACTGACAAGATCATGAGTTTTACACTTAAGAAATCACACACTTTGTTTCATCCCAATTTGATTTGGAAGGATTGACCATTCCATGGTGAGCATACCTTACTAGTGTGACTGTTCCCAGTATATACCTATCTGCTACTTGACTAAAACTGGGCCACAAGAGTGAGTTCCTTTCCAGATCTGAAGGGTGGTGGAGGGCCATAGTCCGTTGGACTAATTAATTCCAAACATTTTTGTTGTGAGGAAAGGTAATTGATTTGATTGTTTAAATAACTTTTAACAATGAAGTAGATAAACCTCTTGTTGTTCCTGTAGTTAAGTGCCTTTGAGTTGGTTCTAACCCATAGCGAAGCGACCCTGTGATAATCCTCTTAGGGCTACATTAAAAAAAAAAAAAAAAAAAGTGTGAAAGGAAAACATGTGATATTTAGGAAATAATTTAAATTTCCTTGCGCAACTCAATTTTGGAAGCATAAACTTGTCATCTTTTTTATGTCAAATCTGGGCTTGTGTCACTTCTATAGGTGGTAGAGATACTTACTCAGACATCCCTGCTGTCTTCTTTCTCCCCTGTCACAGCCCATGTATTCAATGAAGTTTTAAAAATCATCACAAGGAAAGCATTATTATTTTAAATCTTTATATTCTTTAGAGCTTCTGTTTCCTTTATCAGCATACAGGGAGGGTGTCTTAGTTATCTAGTATCCTACAGTGGGTGGTTTTTACAAACAGGAATTTATTCTCCCACAGTTTAGGAAGCTAGAAGTCTGAATTAAGGGTGCCAGCTACAGGGAAAGCCTTTCTTTCCTTTTCAGCTCTGGGGGAAAGTCCTTATCATCAATATTCCTCTAGGTCTAGGAGTTTCTCAGCTGAGGAACTCCAGGTCCAAAGGCTCTGTACCTGGATCTCCTTTCTTGGTGGAAGTAGGTCCCTCAATCTCTACTCCATTCTCTCTCCTTTGAACTCTTCTAGGACAAAAGATGGTGCAGTCCACACCCAGGGAAAATCCCCTTACATTGGATCCAGACTATGACATGATTAAGGGTGATTTATCCCACCCTAATCCACTTAGAACTGATTGGCTGATTCCATCACAAGGACTAATTGCATCATTTCATAACTGCCTCTAATCCTGCCTCTTTAACATAGAGATTAGGATTTGCAATACATAGGATAATTACATAATACTGAGAAATGTGGCCTATCCAAATTGACATATTTCTGGGGGATACGATTCAATCCAAAACAGATGCTATGAGCTTATTATTGATTGATAGATAAACTCCTCCACCTCTGTCTTTTTGAATTACAATTCTTCTCAGCGTCTCCTTCACAGCACCTACATCCTTTCTTTAGCAGGAATTTGGTAGACCATTGAACACTTCTTTCTTTTGCATTCTTGGTGAAAGTTTGCATATCAAATTAGGTTCCCATTGGACAGTTTCTCTACTTACTGTTTGTAGTCCTGGTGTGGCTTTGCAGGTTTATGTGCTGGACTGCAAGATCGGTTTGAACCGCAAGGTAGGTGGTTCAAGATCACCAGCCGCTACTTGGAAACTCTATACATGGTCACAATGGGTCAGATCTGATTCGATGGCACTTAACAATAACATATGGTGTCATTGGTTACATATTTCACAATGTGTCAGCCATGTCATTATGTTCATTCTGCTTACCTGCCTGCCCACTCGTTGCCTATCCTCTGCCCACCACCCCCATCTTCTCATCTTTGCTTGGAGGTAATATTGACTCATTAGACTCCTATAGATGATTCTTTAAGAGGAAAACAGCACTCATGGATGATGTTGTTTATTTTATGAAGCAATCTATTATTTGGCTGAAAGGTGAGCACCAGGAGTGGGTTCAGTTCCAAAAGTAAATGGTATCTCAGGGCAATAGTCTCCAGGTAGCCTCTAGACTTTACCAGTCCAGTAAGTGTGGCCTTCTTTTTAGGAATTTGAGGTTACATAAGTAGAAATGTATGCATGCAGGTATCATATCTATTTATATGCTGTTTTTGTTGTTAAGTGCCTTTGAGTCAGTTCTGACTCACAGAGACCCTTTATTGGGTCTCTGTGCCAATAAAGAAGCTGCACCTCTTTGAGAGATCAGGCAATCATATGCATATTTTTAGCTGTTATTATAAAACTGTATATGTTGCAACGTTTACTAAAATTGTCCTTTAGTCTTGTGTACTTTTAGTGCCATCATTGACCTTGATAAGTTGTCCAGACTTCACCTATATTGGCTATTAATTTTTCATTACGAAATAATATGTGTCTATGCTCTAGAAAGTGATTTCCCGTTCCTCCCCCTTCCATTTCTGGTAATCATCAGACATTGCTTTCTGTGTGTATACGTTTTCTTTTAATGAAAGTGAGAGCATGCAATAGTTGTCCTTTTGTGATTGATTTATTTTACTCAACATAATGTCCTCCAGATTTACCCATGTTTTAATTTGATCTGAGAATTATTATTCTTTATAACTGCATAATATTCCACTGCATGTATGTACCATGATTTGTTTATCCATTCACCCACTGATGGGCACTTAAGTTATTTTTATCATTTTGCTATTGTGAAAAATGCTGTATGAACTAAGTGGGAATATGTCTATATGTGCCACTGCTAATATATCTCTAGGGTATATTCCTAGGAGTGGGATGGCTGGGTCAAAAGGTTGTTGTTGTTGTCAGGTGCCATCGAGTCGGAACCGACTCATAGTGACCCCATGCACAGCAGAACGAAACAATGCTCGATCCTGGGCCAACCTC